TATATATATACACACACACACACACACACACATATATATATATATATTTTTTTTTTAACCCCATGTCTGACCCTCTGCCCTTTCCCACCCTATCTCTGCTGTCTGCAGTTGTCTTCAATTCCTTTTCCCCCAACATATTGTTGATCACACTCAAACTCAGAATTCTGTGGTAAACCCAGTTAGTCCGCATTTAACTCACTCTGCTCCCTCCTGTGTGCACAGATGAGCTCTCCCTTGATTCATTCTCTCATGCACACAGTCTCTGTAGACAGAATTCCAAGATGGCTCCCAAGTCCCCCAGTCCTGGCCTACGTCCCTGACCGCTCCGTCCCTGTGTGTGACTGTGACTGGGCTGGCTGTCAGTCCTGAGGTGAGGCTACCTGGTTTGGTCACGTGCTATGCAGCGTGAACTCGGTCAGTGATGGGCCTCCCACACAATGGTGGCCCTATAAGGAGCACATGGCCCACACCGCAGCGCCTGGTGTGTGGTGGCTGTCCAGGGTTGTAGAAGGGCACCCTGTGATGTCTGCGTCATGACGAAGGTGCCTTACGTGTTTCTCAGAACTTCTCCCTGTCATGTGACTCATGGCTGTGTGGGAGGGGTTTTACAGAGGCAGTTCTGGCCCCTGAGCAACCACAGGGGAGATTATATCCAGGGGGCCTGACTCAATCAGGGAAGCCCTTAAAGGGGACCGAGCCCTTCCTGGTGGGTTCGGAAGGGTTGGAAGAGATTTAAGGGTGAGACTGAGAGGGAGTAAGATGAGGGGGTGAGAACACTTGGCAAGGACTTGAGGGCGGCCTTAGGAGTTGAGAGAGGTTCAAAAGGGAGACCTCAGTCATACAGCAGCAAGGAACTGGACCTGCCTGTGATCTGAGTGACCCTGGGAGAGGATCCCAAGCTCCAGCTGAGAAATCGTCTAGCTTGTACCTTCAATTTAGCCTTGTGAGGTACTGAGCAGAGGCCCTGGTGAGGCTGCACCTGGACTCTGACCTGCAGAAGCCAAGGCTCTATGTGGGTGCATTCAGTTTCCGGGAATTTGTCATGCAGTGTCTGCCCACTAAGGCGGCCACAGGTCTTCACGGCTGGCCACGGCACTGGGCTAGTGCCAGGGACAGAGAGAGGGCCTGTGCAGACGTGGCCCTCGCCCTCAAGGAGCTTGTGTTCAGATCCCAGGGAAACGCCTTCGGGGGCTTTCTAGCCTGTGACCTGTGGTAAAGGTGGCAGGATCCCTCATGACCGACTGCGCGGATCAAGGCCTGGACCTGGTACCTTAAAAAGCGCACCAGAGGGGTGTGTGTGTGTGTCCAAAATCCCAAAGGAGGGAGACACGGAGGAGAAGGGATGCAGCGTGGCCATCCCTCACAGAGGGTGCTTTCTCACTCTCTCTGTCTCTCCCTGGCGAGTGCACGTGTCCTTTTACAAATTAAAAAAGGAGGAGGAGGAGAAGAAAGGAGAAGCGGGTCAGATGGTCCTGGGTTCAAATTCTGGCTCTTCCTTTTGGCCTCACTCCCACTTTGAGCGAATCACATCAGCTTCCTGTGCCTGTTTGCTCATCTGTCTACAAGGACAGCAGTCGTGTCACCAAGACTGTGGGAATTACATCGGTAACACGCTGAAGTGCTCGCTTTGTGCCTGGCTGGAGTGGGAGCACAGGTGTGAGTGGGTGTTAGTTCCCGTCCCGCTCTAGGACACAGGGGCTTGGTGCTGGTGGGAACTAGCGCTAGAGTAATTCTACCCTGAGTGGTCACACGCGAGCAATGAGGCTCGGCCTGCCTTGCCCAGGCTCAGAGGCAATGCCGGGGCTGAGACAGGGCCCTGCAGCCTGACCTGGGGACGGCCCTCTTCCTGCTCCAAGCTGCCGCCTGCTGGACTCGAAGCCGGGGGACTCAGGGACATTCCACACACTGTTCTCCCTCTTGGTCACTGACAGTGACTGTGCAGTGACAGTGATGGAAACAAAGGCATTTCTGAGAACTTCAGAATTACTGACCTGATTCAATTAAGCAGACGTTGGTCTCTGTCTCTCCGCCCCAGACTCCTTTCTGCGCCGTGTCTGGCTCCAGCTCTTCTGCTATGGGGGGATGGAATTTCCACTGGAAATGGTTGAACTACCCCAAACCCCTAATTAATCCGAATTTTATTATTCATGTGGCAGAATTTGAGCTGCCTCTAATCACTTGGATGAAGAATGCTTTGTATTCTAGTGTGGATGAGGATGTATGAAGTATAATTTGGCTCATTATTTTTGGAAGACAATCTTGGCAACACATATAAAAGCCTTAAAATTATACATATGATTTGACCCAAGGATTCAAATTTTAGTTTTTGGGCAAATATTTAACTATAAGGATGCTTGCTAGAGAATGTATTATAGGAAATGTTGAAAACAACCTACTGAAAGGGATTGGGGAACTTATGGCATATCTGGACAGGAGAGAACTAAGTAGTAATTAAAGATGATGCTGAGGGCCAGCAGGTGGCATGGAGGTTAAGGCACTGGATTCCCACATGGCTGACTGCGGTTCGAGTCCCAGACCTGGTGGCTTGCTTTCTCACCCTCCCCCCCTTCCCTCTCACTCCATCTCTCGCTGGTGAGCACACAAGCCCTATAACATATTAAAATAATAATAAATACAGTTAAAATAAATAATTCTAAGAAAATGATGCTAAAAGATATTTATGGGGCATTCAGTCAGAGTCACAGCAGAAAGAGTGACAGTAGCAGTTCTGAAATGAAGTTTCCGGGGTTGGGATTGCTGTTTGATTGCTCGGTGACATTGGACAAGGCACTTACCTTCTGCAAACCTCAGTTTCTCCATCTGTCAAGTGGGGGAAGTAACTACATTACGCCTCAGAGTGAGCATGAGCTAATTCATGTCAAGTGCCTGGCATTACCTAGTGACATGGTAAGCACTTGCTCAATAAATATTCTATTGTGATGATTTTGCATTTGCTTTTAAAACCTACTCATAGAGGGGACCAGCAGGTGGCGTGGAGGTTGGGGCACTAGACTCCCACATGATTGACCAAGGTTCAAGTCCTGGACCTGGTGGCTTGCTTTCTTACTTTCCCTCTTTTCTCTCTGTCTCTCTGGTCAAATTGAAAAATGATAACAAATCAAATCAAATTAATAATTCTTTAAAAAAAAATACCTACACAGTGAAAAGAGAAGAAAGGGGACCAGCAGATGGCATCATGGTTACGTTGCTGGATTCCCATATAGTCTACTGCAGTTTGAGTCCCAGACCTGGCAACTTAAAACTCACTCTAAGCACGTGTGTGTGCTTGCCCCGAATCCCAAGAGAATGGAGAAGGGACTCCAGCATGGCCATCCCCCCACCCCCGCCTGGGGGAGGTGATGTCTTTCTTTCTGTCTCTCTGGTGAGCGCATGTGCCCTATAGCAAACATCTCTCTTAAAATAAATAAATAAATAAAAGCAAAATGAAAATGGATACCCCTGATGGCGGGACTGCGCGTGGACTCATTTTCTTCTGTGCTTTCTTTGTGCTCAGAATGCTCTACGGTACATATGAGCTGCTTTTGTAGCAAGAAAAGGAAGCCACTGAGATGAGGAACATGGCCTTGTGTTACAGAGGCCCTTTCAGAACTTCAGGAGCTGAGTGCTCCGCTACTCCTGCTTCAGCTGAGACGCCCCTGAGCTTAGGCCCGGTGGAGAAGTGGCAGGAACTGGGCCTGCCACCCTCAGACCCACTCCACCAGGCCTCTTTACCAACCAGGCCTGGGAGCTGAGTGGAGGAGGTGAACCTACCTCAGTTCAGGAGACAGCTGCCTCGTCACTGGTTTGTCCACTGGTTTGTCCGCATCTTATCAGTACAGACAGGAAGGATTCACAGAGCCACCCCGGCCCTTCTGTCCCAGTCTGCTTGTCACCTGGCTGTTCATTAGCATGTGTGACAAACTCCTCCCTGCAAACAGAAGCTCTCAGAGAGAACCAAACTGTTTCAATCTCCTTGGAGGGACAGCAGGGGATGCCCCAGAAATGACCGACTGAGAGGGCTAGGTTGGGGCTTCATGGGCTCAGGGAGGGCCCTGGAGGTGCTGTCCTCAGCTAGGAAGGTCAGAAAGGAGCCGGGAGGGGGGGGGAGAAGAGGGGCCCCTACTGCAGACTCCCCAGCTGTTGCCTGGGGACAACTGATAAGCCCAAGAGAGGGCTGTTGCAGCTACAGGCTGAGTCTGTGGGGCAGAAGGTGGGTTGTGAGCGGAGGGGGGGGGTTTGCCTTCCTTTCCGTGACTCTGCTGGAGGCTGGGGGAAGGGGCTGAAAAGGCCCTGGAGCCTGTCCTGGGTCACCTGGAGTCATGGGGATGGGAGGGCCTGGCTCCTCAGACTGCAGTCACTCCAGCCCCATGTCTATGCTGGAGGCAGCAGGGAGGGGAAGGCACCAGAAACCAGCTGCTGCAAGAAATTCTGTGGGGTGGGGCCAGCAGGTGGCATGGTGATTAAAGTGCTGGATTCCCACATGACTAACTGTGGTTGGAGTCCCAGACCTGGAGGCATGCTTTCGCATTTCCCTCTCTCATTTTCTCTCTCTCTCTCTCTCTCTCTCTCTCTCTCCATTCTCTCGCTCCCTGTCATGAGTACACATGCCCTATAGCAATGAAAAAAAAATGATAATAAAGTAAATAATTCTTAAAAAAAAAAGAAATTCTGGGAGAAATTCTAAGGCTGGGCAGATATTTAAAAGCTATTGCATATGTGGGCTTTCTTTTGATAGCTTATCGAAGAATAATTAATACACCATAAACAGCACACATTGAAGTATGCAATGTCCTCAATTTTGACCTTCATCTATACCCATGGAGCTCTCACCAGAGTCAAGGGGTTGTATATAGGGTCTTCACAGAGGGCGCCCTTGTGCGGCCTTTCTCTCCTTTCATCTCTCCTCCTTGTACTCCCAGGAAAACACCTGTCTACTGTCTGTCATCATAGGTCAGTTTGTATTTCCTAGAATCTGATATAAATGGAATCATATAGGACCCTCTTTTTGGTTGGCTTCTTGTACTCACAATTATTTTGAGGTTCACCCAGTGCATGCAATAGTGCAATCATTTCTTTCTATTGCTGAGTATTACACCCTTATATGAACATAGCACAATTTATTTTCCTACCACCTATGATGGATATTTAGATTTCAGAGAGAAGGGAATTAAAATCACCCTCCGAGGGGCATGGCCAAGCCGCAATCCCTCCTCCTCCACCTTTCCCGCCTCTCTGCATTTTGGGTATGCCTGCACACATGCCTGGCATATTTTTCAAGCCACCAGGTCTGGGACTCAAATCATGCAGTCAGCCATGTGGGATCTAACCTCCTTAACACCACGTCACCTGGCTGGCCATGGTCTTACTTTCATAACAACTCATTTTCTTCGGCGACTAACCATACTCGTGAGAGCAGAACTCCCTCCCTCCCTAATCTTGCATTGTCCCCATGCTTCGAACACTGCTCACTAGGCCCAACCTCTTCTTAACACCTGCACACCTGGGAACCAAGCTTTGAGCACATGAACCTTGGAGGGACAAACCATAAACCATAGCAATAATGACAATGAATGTCTGTTACTGGCTTATGTATCTTCTATACTTTAAAAAAATATTTGGTTATATTTTCCTTTTTAAAATTTTATTTAACTTTATCCATTTATTTATTTATTATTTTTGATTGGATCACAGAGGGACAGAATGAGAGAGAGAGAGAGAGAGTGAGTGAGAAAGCAAGCTGCCAGGTCTGGGACTCAAACCACAATCAGCCATGTGGGAGTCCAACACCTTTAACCACCACACCATCTGCCAGCCCTGTATCTTCCTTTTTTTAAATTTTTTTTTACAATAGTTTAGAACGATCGACATTGTTGATATCATACTATGGTATAGTTTTCTAGTCTGCTTTTCATGTAATAAGTAGTCGACTCTACGCATTGTCTGTGTTGTGCAAAGTCTTCATTTCTCTTTTTTTCCTTTGTTATAGGGCGGATGTGCTCACCAGAGAGAGACAGAGAGAGGGAAAGTGAGAAATGACCCTCTAGGGGGAATGGCCACACCCCAACCCCTCTCTACCATTCTCCTTCTGGGATTTTGGGCACCCACACACATGTGCCCAGTATGATTTTCAAGCTACCGGGTCTCGGACTCAAACCACGGTTGACCATGTGGGAGTTCAGCACCTTAGCCACCATGCCACCTGCTGGCCCCATATTTCCTATACTTGGATCATTATTTTAGGGTGTACATCTTATGGAAAAAGGGTTCACCATAAGCTAGTATGCCGCGCTATGTCAGCAGCAGCCTCACACATCTCATACTTACTATAGCTCTTCATTGCTTCGTGTTCTCTTGTGCCTAATTTAACCTCGTGTTCGGTTCATCCCAGCCCTAATAAACGGGCTATGCCATACAGCCCGGGTGTGTAGTAGGCTGTGCCATCAGGGTTTGCGTAACTACACTCTACGATGTTTGCACAAGCTTTATGATAGTTTTGCGGGGCACAGGAGGCTGTGTTATTTTTAATATTATTATTATTATTATTATTTTTGCTATAGGGCACATAGGTTTGCTGAAGAGAGAGAGAGAGAGAGCGCACCCCCATGGGGGATAATCACACCGCAGTTCTCTTCCTTCATTCTCCTCCTAGGATTTTGGGCATGCATGCACACACACCCATTGTGATTTTCAAGTTGCTAGGTCTAGGACTCAAACTGCTTAGTTGACCATGTGGGATCCAACTGCTTTAACCACTGCACCACCTAGCTGGCCAGGGGCTGGTTTTACAAATGCTGGAAATACTGCAGACTGGGTCAGCTCTTCTCTACACAGAGGAATGGAGGGTGCTGGGGTGGAGCCACTGAAGAGGGCTGGAACAAATTCAGATCTGTTTTAAGCAGAGAAGGCTGGACTGGAAGGGGCCAGGTGGGAGAGCGAGAAAGGAGTTGGGGGAAGAATTTTCTTGTCCCTGGGAGCAACAGTGGCTGTTCTAAAGTGCCTGGAGAGAAGGGCCGCGGAAGCAGGTGCCGTTAAGGAATTAGGACCATAAACCTTGCCTTCGCCTGGATGAGAGGAAGGAGAGTGGGGGAGTGGTTTGGGATGGCCAGACGTGGGGGCTGGAGAATACAGAGCTCGGTCAGTGTGGAAGGGGGAAGACCAAGAGCTCAGTGGGAGATGGGCTGAGGGTGTAGCGCCCGGAAGGTTCAGTCGAGGACATTCGAAGACTGCTGAGGACAGTCCAGTGTTGGGGCGGGGAAGAGGGAATCCGGGTTTGTCAAAGCAGGGCAGGGGAAGGTGCATGGCCGCTATGGTTACAGCGAAGCCGAGCAGGCGGAGCGTGCAGAGCTGGGGTGGGAGGCAACCAGGAGACGTGGAATGGGACTGAGCGGAAACTGCCCAAGGAGATTGCACTCCCCGCTCTGAGGGGAACTGCGAGTGGGCCGGCCGCTTGTTAAATATTCTTTCTGCTGGGACCAGCAGTTGGCGTAATGGCTATGTCGCTGGACTCCCACGTAGTCAACCTCGGTTCACATCCTGGACCCGGTGGCTTAAACTCACGCCGGGCGCGTGTGTGTGCGTGCCCGAGATCCCGAGAGGAGAATGGAGGAGAAGAGATTGTAGTATGGTCATTCCCCACCCCACCCCCCCGGGGGGGTGATTTCTCGCTTTCTGTCTCTCTGTCTCTCTGTCTTGCGAGTGCGTGTGCCCTATAGCAAAAACCTCTCCGCCCCCCCACCCCCCCAAAAAAATTCTTTCTGCTGAACATAAGGGGCGTTTCATGGTAGTTGAGTATGTGGGGGAGTTTTATTCCCTATTAATGCACCAATATCTGCTTCTCAGAGCCCAGAAGGAGGGTCACGTGATCTGAGCTAAAGGCTCAGTCTGCCACTGTGCAAGGGAAAGCAGGAGGAGGCACTGCAGACCCCCGCCTTCCCTCCCTGCTGTGTCTTCTCGGTGGGCAGAGCCTCAGCGAAGGCCACCATTTACTGAGGACCTACTCTGTGCTAGGACTTTCGAGGCTATTTACTGACATCATTTGTCCTTTAGACCTCAAGTGGGAAGTGTGAAAAACTGTTAGCGCATTCTAATGGGAAGGAACCCCGAAGCTCAGAATTCAGGCGCTGCTTGTGGCCTGACTTCTTTCCCATATTAACCTTTCGCCTCTTCCCAGTGTCCCTCTACCTCCTCCCACATTCCAACAGAGTTGCCCTGTGCTCCTGAGCTCAGGGTGGTTTAAGACAGATGTTCCTGACTTTTCTTTCTAAAAGCTTGAACACATTAATAGTATTTGTGAAGGGAACGACATTATTCTCTTTTCCCATATTAACCTTTCGCCTCTTCCCAGTGTCCCTCTACCTCCTCCCACATTCCAACAGAGTTGCCCTGTGCTCCTGAGCTCAGGGTGGTTTAAGACAGATGTTCCTGACTTTTCTTTCTAAAAGCTTGAACACATTAATAATATTATTTGTGAAGGGAATGACGTTATTCTCTCACACACGCACACGGAGGCTGGAGGGAGAGGTGCAGAGAACAGAGCGCTCCCTCCCCACCAGAGCTGCGAGGTTAGGGCCCTTTGTTGAGGGTCAGCAGAAGGAACCAGGGCAGCCTTGCAGAGGGCCCAGAGGCGGAAGAGAGTCGTGCTCTGCCCTAACTATAGACAAGAACTGGGGTGCCTCGGGGTGCCTGTGTGGAGTCACGGTTGAAGACTTACAGGCCCTCTTCCATTACCAAGTTACCCTCCTTCCCTCTTCCTCTGTCAGCCTTGACATAGGCCTTGAGGAGGGAAGGGGACCAGTGACATGCTGGTAATCTGGGTCTCAAAAAAAAAAAAAATCCCTGATGTGCACCTTTTGCTAACTATTCTCATGGCTGATTTCAGGCTGACAATGTGAGGTCGCTGAATGCACAGTTGGAAAGGGAATATGCAGCCCTCTCTTGCAAGCCAGGTAGACCGGCTCTGACGCATTCCTGAAATCATCCCAACGGTCTTTTGGAAAAAATTGGAATTATTACTTATCTGAAAAATAGAAACAAATTTGAATTGTTATTTTTTAGA